TTCTGTGGAAGTCGACAACGAGGGAGGTGTTTGATAAGATTTTTAGTACAAATTCCGTCAAATAAAGATTTTTAGTACAAAGAAGAAGCCCACTAGTACGACGATGAGACTACAGGACTTGTTCCATCGCAATATCTACTCTACGGAATAGTTTACTAGACATACACTTTTAGCTATTCAGAAGAAAAACTTCATATGACTATCCAGAAAAATACATAATAACCTCATTAATCACCAAATCTGAAGATACATGTAGCAATGCGGGTTGGAACATACTAGTGCTGGCAAACATCCTATCAGGAGAATAAATGAAATGTCATATGCATCATTGTACACATCAGGAATTATGTTATATGGATATTGGGAGTAATTGGCCCAATCGGAAATAGAAACAAGAATCCATGTCCTGGTGTCTTCCTTGTACTTCTGAATACACCAATATAAGACAAATCATTCAGAATGTTTCTTGGGACAAGGCTGCAATTTCATCAATGAATTTAGTTGGGAGGCATGCTACCCGACCCATTTTCGAATCTAGAGTAATATGTGGAGCTAGAGCCAGAGAAACTTTCTGATCTTTCAAAACCAGGAAGATTATTCCCGGACCTTGCGCACGACATTCTCTGCCACAAATGACCAGGAGCAGAACCGCTAGGTGGCCTCAAGTGTTGTGAACCTGCAATAACATAGTCAGTTTCAAGCCATTCACTAAACATCCAATGTTGTTGGTGAGGATAAATACCATTGTTGTTTCCATGATCTGTTAAGGGCCTGAAGTATTGTAGTGCAAAATTGGGAGCGTGGTGGGTAATGAAGCCTTGACCTCTTGCACAAGGAGGAAGCTGATGAAAGACGCCTTGACATTCTGGGGCATGAGGATGTAACCCTTGACCTGATAGTCCAATAGGAGGATGCCGAGCATGGAAGTCGTGACCTAGTAGTCCAGGAGGAGGATAAGGAGAATATGAGCCTTGCTCTGCTGGTACCATGGGAGGACGCCGAAAGTATAGGCCATCATCTACTGGTGCGCAAAGAGGATGAACCGGGTATGATTGCTTATCTGAAAGAAGAGAAGGATGATGTCCATGATCAGTAAGTACTAGAGGAGGACATCGAGAGAACAAGACTTCCATGCATGTGGACTAATAGATAATACAAGCTTACCGCATATCACTTCTTGTGATTCCACACGAGTGCCCCTGATTTCTTGTATTGTCGCAGTACTTACCTTTCCCTTGCTTGTGTTTACTGGTGATTTTCGGTCCCGTACAACAAAACCGATTAATGAGTCTTGGTTTGTATCGATTGTTGATGCACCTTTCCAGAAACCATATTTTGCAAGCACTGTTATTATGTCCTTGTGTCCAGGACATACATAAATATATGAACCATCTTCTGTTGTTGCTAAACCAATTCTTTTGTTCACTTTTAACATCTTTGCAACCTGCATCAGTGTCATAAATAGCTTAAGCGTAATATTCTGAATGTCCATACCTACTAAGGACTAGAAATGAAAAATCAAGTGTCAATTTTACCTGCTTCATTCCCTCTAAGCCATTTTTCGAAGACTCAACATTCAACAACAGGGAAATCACCTAATAGGATATTGGTTGCAAGTTAAAATCAGTTTTGGTTTATTTCTGTGATATTTCAGTAACTATTAAAACTAATGATGAAAGAAAACTGACGCTACAAAACAAATTGTTATCTTGGTATATCAAATACAATTTCAAACTCATGTCAGCACAAAAGTAAATAATCCTAAAACGGGAGAATGTCAAATCATAAGAACAAGGATGAACCATCTATAATGTAAGAAAATGATCTTACCATTATTGACCGGTTTTGAGAGTGACGAAGATCCTTGAGGAATTTTTTAAAAACCGCCCATTTCACTCTTCCTTTGATTTCTATGGTTTTCGGCCAAACAATATCTTGAATTTTTTTCCCACTGCAAAGAGAACACATGGAAATCTATAATCAGAAACAACATGATTCGAACATCCACCATTTACAACAACTAAATATTTGTTTTTCAATCTAAGAAACAAATATAATCCTACTTTATGATTACAGTGGAAAAAATAAATATATTATGTACTTCCTCTGTTTTTATTTAGTTCGCGTATTAGCTTTGGTCAAAATCAAGCTTTGTGAACATTGACCAAGTTTATAAGCAAAAATATTAACATATACAATAACAAATCAATACCATTAGAATATTATTGAATGTACTTTCACATCGTATAGATTTGTTATGGTAAATGTTTATATTGTTTTCTATAAACTTGGTCAAACTTTACGAAGTTTGACTTCAGTCAACTCTAATATGCAGAGTAAATAAAAACGGAGGGAGTACATCACATTATCATTAAATCTGGTCAATTCAAGGCATGCATGTGTTGTCGTGCAAAGACAAATTATATTAGTTCTAAGTTGTAAAAAGCAATCAAAGCTCCATACAAAAAGAATAGAATCATATGTAGAGATGTTGAACAAATGAAATGTTTCAATCCCGGAATAATTAACATGTTAATACCCTCTATAATTCATACAATAATATGACGAAATACTCGTTTTGTTGGAGTTTGACTTGTTTTGACCTCATTGGCCTCTCGCCATCAAATTCTTTTTGGACAATATGCCCCACTAATTAGTACCAATAGAAAATGTATGTGCTTTCCCTCTACTATTATGAAAATTGATGCCTAAAGGACCATCTCACGTCCTACAGTTTAACTTCAAGGCTTCAACACCTATTATGCAAGGAAATGGAGATTTGACTGGATTGAGTAGAAAAACAGTTACATAACTTAGTAACATGGTGCAAACTTCTACCAATCAACATCCTAGTAAGGATATATGTTGGGTTGTGTGTATGTGTGGGGTGTGCATATGGGTTTGGCCCAAAGGCCCACCCTTGTGAATATCTACTCATACTTGTAGGTTATAGTTAAAGAGCAAGGGAGTGTTATAGATTTTTCCCCAAGAGACAACATGGTATAACACCCAGGTTACAACTAAAGCCATTGCTAGCGGCGAGAGGAAAGGTGGTGCTCATGGCTATGGGTGAAGAGATGTTTTGTCGCTAGTGGATCTCTTGGAGTGAGGAGAAAATCGCATGGGAGAAGCTACAACAGAGCCGTAGCCTTTAGCAGATAGGAAATGGTCTGGAGCAGGGGGAGAGAACCACTGCTGGTTGTGGACCAGAGCAGAGAGAAGAGGTGCCTGCGGCCAGGAGTGTGGGGCAGCACAGCAAATTGGCATTGAAGCTTGTGGCGTGCAACCTGGGACCGGGGCCCCTCCTTGTGGGACGTGCAGGAACTGTAGGTCATGGGTGCTCGGGGTAGCAGCAGGAGGCGTACATGTGGCTGCTCAAAATCAAAAGCTCATCCGAGATGATGGCCAATAGTGTGTGCAAGTAGAAGGACCTGCAGGTCTGCGGTGTTGGTCCGTGGTGGTGAAAGGAGAGATTGGTGAGGTATGTACGACTACTATCACTTGGAGGTAGCGGTGTTGGTGTAGTGAGTACTGTAGCAAGAAGCAGAGAAGATGTATGTTGCCTAAATTTGTCTGTGGGCTGCTGATGCTGCTGTCTTAGAGTGGAGAGAAGTAGATGTTTTTTGCTGGTTGCGGAAAGAAGGCAAAGCGAAACATCTTGTAGGAGGTGTGGCTAGTGTTTGTGACAGGTAACAGTGTGGTGGATTTAGGGCCTTGATGCGCTAGTTGCATTGAACCTGGTTCTAGTTGTTGATTGTTGTTGCTCAAGTAAGCTAAAAGTTAATATCTGATAGAGGAGAAGAGAGGAGGCATAGTCGCTTGCTCTTGGTGCTTTCTAGTGATATTGAACCATGGGGGAAAATCAAAGAATTGAGAAGCTACTTCAAAAAAACACAAAAAAGCTCAGAGAATCTCCAACAACGGCCCTATAATAGGGCACAAAAAAGCAGTTGGAGTAAAATTTGGGACACCAAAAAGTGAATTTTAGGGCACCAGACAATGCTCATCAACTATAGCAGCCCTAAAATTGGTGCCCCAAAAATACCGTGGATGTCGTTTTGTGCTTGTCCTATTTTAGGGCACTTGTTGGAGCAGCGTTTTTGGCATAAAGTTATGTAAAACAGCCATTTTATTGTGGTCCCATGTGGTCCCCCATTTGGAGCAAATTTCGCGGCAGCAACCAAAGTGTTTTATATTTGTAGCATATGGCCGCTCGCCACCGTCGTTGTTGGGCAAGAATTCGCCGGAAGTGTCATAGAAAGGTTAGTGCCTCTGCGCATACTATTGTGTGTGTTTCCTGGCCAGGACACTGTCGGAGGTGTAGAGGAGGCTCGCGGGAGGAATCGAGTGGAGTTTTGCCGGAATCAACAATCCAGTCGCGCTGGAGTCACTGGAAGGAGGTGAAGGAGACGGGTAGGGGACCTGCAAGCCTCACATCATGGAAGGGGTGTACAGCGAGCGAGCCGATGATGTGCTGACATAGTTCCACATCTGGGCACCATCGTCTTGCTCTGATCGCTCGTGGCGGTTGTGCCCTGTTAAGAAGGAGGAGGTTGCAGGCCGCCATCACTCCTGTGGCACGAGCCTCTCGCCGTGGAGGTCAAGGTGGATAGACACGACGACAAGGTGGAATGGTGGAGTTCATTTATGATTTTTAAATTTTAGGATCTGCTTTTGATCTGTCATTGATGATTTTAAAATTATATATAAAGTTCACAATCGGCTCTTGATCTGTCCTACATGTGCTTGAGTAAGCATGATGCGGTATGTTTTATTCTTCAGATCTGATAGTTGATTACGAAGAGGAAGGGGCCCCTAAAGAATGATGAGACACCCTTTCAGAGGTGGTGTCAATGGCGTTCACTTTATGAGTTAGGAATTCTCTCTTCAGAAGGGGCCCCTAAACAAAGCCATTCAACGGATACATGCTCCAAGCATTAGTAAATTCATTGTGGACCAATTGGTAGTCAGATCATTGTAAGTGGCACAACATACAAGTTCATGTTTATTATTCAATCATTTTCTAAATGGCTGCATACCTTTGTGCATATATGACTAAATGGCATATTGCTTCTTCAGTCTCATTTGAGTATATAAGGCGTGCATGCAATTTTAATAAGGCTCTCTTTTTTTTCTCTCATTTCTTTGTTGTCTTTTGAGACTGGATATTTTTTCACTCATACCCAAGACACTAACAGAAGGAACCCAAGTCAATTTAGTAGCAACTATTGTGCTAATGGTTCAGCGGGATTTTTTTTGCTCAATGTTCCATGATATTGAAGCTATTGTTGTAACAAACTGCAAGATGTTTCAAACATTCTCCTGCACTAGTGCAGTTCAATGAAAGGTGAGCCATGCGGTGGCCGAGATTATCTTCTTGGGATTGACCACCTTCAGATATATTTGTGATAGGGTGGACACCAGGATCACTATCGGTGAGGGTGAAAAGGAGGATAAGAAGTGACACGGATGGGGCGCCATATTGAAATAGAGGATGTAGACATGTGGGAGTCTTGAGCCATGCTTACTGGGCTAGGGGCATGTGATTTTTTTTCTCCCATTGCAAAGCACAAGAATGTGGCTAGTAGAATTAAATCACATAAGCTTGGGAAATCAAGTCATAGTTTGTCTAACTAAGGGCTTAGGACTCGAGGAATATAATTTAGCTTGTAACAAGATGGTAATGATAGATATTTATCACCCATCTGATGGGGAGTGTTGGTTTTTTTGTGGAGAAATAGAGGGGGGGCGGGGGTTGATTCTATGTGTGGGGTGTGTGTACGGGTTTCTACCAAATTAAAGGCTTACTCTTATGTATATACACTCATACTTGCAGGCTGTAGTTACACAATCCATGATGTTCAAATTAATTTGGTTGTAAATCATATTATGTGTGTATGTATTTTATAGCCATAACTATTTCAAGTAATTAAAAGCAACATGGAAAATGGGATATAAAAGGAAAATGGTGCCTAAGGAAAAAAAATCCCTATTTAAACATCACATTAGTGGTTTTTGCACCGAGGGATTATGAGGAAACATTGATTAAGACCATTCTTTATATGACATATCAAATATTGCACATGAACTAATTGTTCTAAAAATCATCATCAGTTTAATATGACCTGCAGCTAATAATGGGCCATCTCCAAAGAAGATTGGAACTAGAAGCCATGTAGTAATAAATTCAAAAGGTTAAAATTGGTTGACACAAACTTAATGTTCACCGTGGTTCAAATATTACTTTATCAGCCGAAATTGACATTTGTCCTAACTCATCAAAATTCACCTACATTAGAGCAAAACACCAATTTGGTAAGCCAAAACACCAACAATTTTACATGTATAGGCTTGTCTGTTATCAAAACAAAATCTACTACTTCTCTAAAGACACAATGAAAACATTATACTAAATCAATAGTAAGAATGATGTAAAAAAATATCATTTGAAAGCATAACCAAGGTACTTATTTACCTTCTAAAAAAGGCGAGAACAGGCACCGTGGTAGTCTTAAGTCTGATGACACCACCCCCCAGACTTGTACATGCAGATGGAGATACGGAACCAATGACAGACTTCATATCATCATCTGAAAAATGAGATGACAGTACATTAGAAATATAATGTGTTGTTTTACATCCATGTAAATCATGTTACTTTATATATGTAATCCACCTGCAACATTCTATTTTGCAGATAACTGTACATGCCTTAGTTACCTATACAACTTCCCAGAGAAGCATCTGTGAGCTGATGTTGTGTTCCACGATACATATTTTTTGATATTTTATTTTTCTACCATAGATACAAGTTAAGCTGGAGAAGAATCTGTGCTCGGGCCTCGGGTTTTTGTGGGAGAGAGCACTATGCATTCAACAATAAGAATAAATGATTGTGCCTTTCATAAAAAAACAAAAACAAAATAGCGTGCTAAGAGAAATAGGAGCGGCCTCCTCCAGATGCTATACACGCTATTTACAAAGAGTGAATTGCAGAAAACCACTATATTGGCGTCTAGGTTTGCAGAAAACACTGATTTACAAACTTCTGCCAGAAACCATTGGTTCTGGGTCTAATCTTTTGCAAAAAACAATAGTTGACGGGTTTGCTCATTTGATGATGATTATGACAGATGGAGCCCACCCTTTCCTTATATGGGTAACTGTCCACAATACACAGGGGTCTTTTTGCAAAAAACACCGCCCCTCTCGAATTTTTTTTGCCTTAAAAGCATTAACCACCCAGGCCAACAGACCTGGCTAAACAGGCCGGCCCGGCAGGGCACGACACGGCATGTGCTAATCGTGCCTAGCCCGGCACGGCCCATCGTGGCACGTTTAATAGCCGGGCCGGGCCGGGCCGGCCCACGGGCGCTGCTCCATGGCCCAGGCACGACCTGATTAGTAAACTGGCCGGCCCGATGGCCTGTTTAGCATGCCGGGCTGCACATTTTCAGTCTGTTGGGCTGGTTTTAGGCATATTGAGCTATATTTTAGGTATACATATATAAAAAAAATCAGAAAATTATGTAAAAAAATAAATGGGCCATGCCGTGCCGGTCCGCATGCCCAGGCTCCAGGCCCAGGCACGGCCCAAGGCATGCCGTGTGCCGGCATGCAGCCTATTTAGCCCGTGCCGTGCCTGGCCCAAGGCGGGCCGTGCCGGCGTGCTCGCGGGCTGGCCTGTTTGGCCCGGCCCGTTTGGCCCCAAGCCGCGTGACGCTGCCCCCTGCGCCGGCCCGGGCGTGAGCTGCAGCGGCCGCGCCTCCCCTTCTCCATCCTCTCTCTTCTTGCTTTTCCCGAGCTGGCGGCGCGCATCTCGGCCGGCCGGCCGCGCCTCCACTTCTCCTTCCTCCCTCCTCTCTCTCTTTCCCGAGCCGGCCTCGCGCAGCAGGGGCGAACTTGGGGCCGGCGGCGACCGCGCCTCCCCTTCTCCATCCTCCCTCCTCGCGGTTCCCTCGTGCCCATCCCGTCCCCGCGTCATGGCGGCCACGTGAGCGGACCTCACCGGCGTCAAGCACGACGTGCTGGTCATGGCGGATCCTAACCGCATGGCTGATCCACCGTGGCCCCCGGCGTCCTGGATCCGGTGATCTTTGGCACTAGAGGCCCTGGATCCGATGAACTTTGCGGCTAGACGGCATGCGGCTTCCTCTGGTGGCTCGACCACAGGCTGAGGATGATGGTCTGACGGCTGAGGACGCCGGACCTCTGGTGACCGCAGGCTGAGGGACGAGGTGCGGCCCACAGGCCTGGCCAGCTCCGCCGCCGACTGCCACAACAGCCGCGTGCCTGTGCCTGTGCCCTCCACTCCCGTTCCCGGCGACGGGAACCATTGCCGGCGTGCTGCTGCTCTGCTCGGCTGCTTGGGCAGCCCAAATCTATTTGTGGAGCTGATTGCTTTTTGTTTATTGATTGAAGGGTGTCTCTGCAAAATTTCAGGGACTATTTTGTAAATCTGGAAAATCCCTCATCTAACAATGTCTAACATTGTCTACCGTGAACTGTTATGTCATGTCATCAAATGTGGGACCCACACGTCATAATCATGATTAAAATGCTCGAAGCGATCGATCTGTTTTTTTCTTCTTCTTTTGCAAAAGATTAGGCTAAGAGTGAGTGATTTTTGTCACAAATTCGTAAACCGGAGTTTTCTGCAAACCTACTGTCAATGTGGTGGTTTTCTTCAATTCACAATGTTTACAAATGGTGTTTTAAAAGAATGCCAGATATGGCCTAAAATTAAATAATAAAGGACTACAAAAAGCTTTAATGTTGCCTAACATCAACAACCCATGAGGCAACACCATAGCAAAAATATACTAATTTAGAATCAAGTGTCACCAGGATCTCCATTCCTAAAGAATAACCTCTCCTTACCGTCCATGGAAGTACTCCATGTAGATAGTTATTTAACAAAGTGACGATTAATCGGGTGCTAGGAGTTAAGATGGATAGCAAACATCACACATACATCACGAATCTGCGAGACCAAAAAAACTTGCCTGGTGCCTCGCTTGTCGGCGCCACAACGGGTTGCGACATCATGCCGCCGCGAACGGGGAAAGACTGCCGGAGAACAGGAGAAGATCAACGAGGAATAGAAGAAGAGGGGGCGAGCATGAGGAAGAAGCCGCCGCCGCCGCCGCCACGCAGGAGCGCTCGGTAGGGAGGAGGACTGGGTATTATACCTATTTGGGCTAGGTCAGGCTTGTGTCTTTGGGCTAATGGGCTGCCCAAAAAAAACAACACGATACAAGCTATCCCGTGTGAAACTTTAGTGGGCATTTCATATTCGGCGCTGCAGGCGCCGATTAAGGGCCAGTTTTCCTAACCAGCGCCTGCAGCGGTGTTAGCTGGGCTAGCCCATTTATCTGTTTTAGTCTGTACTTTTTTCTTCTATTTCCAAAAACGCAAAAGAAGTGCAGCACTGGTGACTTGAACAGGGGACCTGCTGTTTCGAGGTGCAATGCACCAACCACGCCGCCACAATACCTCCTCTGTTATTTTTCATCTTTCCCATTCTTATATTACTTCAACTTTTCCTTTCCTTTTTTTCCCTTTTTACTATTTTCTTCTTCCCGGATAGATGAACTTTTTTCTAAAATTTGATGAATTGTTTTTCAAATTCGATGAACTTTTTTCATATTTAATGAACTTTTTCAAAAAAAACGATGAACTTTCTTTCAAATCCGCTGAATTTTTTCAAAATCGATTAACTTTTTCCCAAATTCGCTGAATTCTTTTCAAATTTGTTGAACTTTTTTCAAAATTAGTGAACTTATTTTCAAAACCGATGAACTTTTTTTAACGCCCCTAGCTAGGCATAAAAGCGAGGATAGATCTAAGTGGTGTCATCTTTGGCACTCAATTCCTCAATAGAGCACTTATAATCTTTAGGGGTTTCTCCCTTTTTAGCAATGATTAAATCTTGAGGCAAGAATTCAAGAACTTCATTTATAGCAAAAGGTTCCTTAATGATCGAGAGACAATTGGGATGAACACTTATTGATTTGAGATCCACATTTCCTTTACTAGAAGATTCACCCTTATTTTTTGGAACATAGATAAATTTGGCAGTTTTGGTAGGAGGATTTGGAGTGTTTTTAACGGAAGAAAACTCCAACCCTAAATTGGCAATGATATCCTCAAGTTTACCGATTCTCGTAGAATCTAGATCTATTCTTTCATTAACTATAGGTTCTTTCTCTTTAAAAAAATTCAAAGTAACTCCAACCCTAGATCCATATTGGGTAATTTGATTATGAATCTTTTTATCAAAATTTTCACTCAACTCAACAGTGGCAATTTTTTTTTTCAATAATTTCAAGCCTTTGCATCACATGTTCCAAAGTTAAAACAATTCCATTAACCAAAAGAGGTGGTGGGCCAAACAAATCTAACATAGCATTATAAGCATCAAACGTATGGCTACTCAAGAAATCCCCTCCGGCAATGGTATCAAGAATACATCTATTCCAAGGAGTAATGCCTACATAAAAATTGCGAAGAAGAACGGAAGTAGAAAGCTTTCTAGTGGATTTATTTTGAGCATTGCAAATTCTATGCCAAGCATCTTTTAAATTTTCTTCCTCCCTTTGCTTAAAATTGAGAATTTCATGTTCGGGAGTAATAACAAGGATAGGAGGACTAGCCATTATGACAAGGTAAACGATCTAACACACGAGCAAATGGAAAAAGGCAAGCAAAAAAGAGAGAGGAGATTGAGAAAGAGAGGGCGAATAAAACGGCAAGGGTGAAGTGGGGGAGAGGAAAACGAGAGTTAAATGGCAAATAATGTAAATGCGAGGGAGATGAGTTTGTGATGGGTACTTGGTATGTCTTGACTTGAGTGAAGACCTCCCCGGCAACGGCGCCAGAAATCCTTCTTGTTACGTCTTGAGCTTGCGTTGGTTTTCCTTGAAGAGGAAAGGGTGATGCAGCAATAGTAGCGTAAGTATTTCCCTCAGTTTTGAGAACCAAGGTATCAATCCAGTAGGAGGCTCCTCAAAAGTCCCACGCACCTACACAAACAAACAAAGAACTCGCAACCAACACAATAAAGGGGTTGTCAATTCCTTCACGGCCACTTGCGAAAGTGAGATCTGATAGAGATAGTATGATAAGATAAATATATTTTTGGTATTTTATAATATAGATAAGAAAAGTAAAGATGCAAATAAAAGTAGATTGAAACCTTATATTATAAAAAGATAGACCCGGGGGCCATAGGTTTCACTAGTGGCTTCTCTCAAGATAGCATAAGTATTACGGTGGGTGAACAAATTACTGTAGAGCAATTGATAGAAAAGCGAATAATTATGAGATTATCTAGGCATGATCATGTATATAGGCATCACGTCTGCGACAAGTAGACCGACTCCTGCCTGCATCTACTACTATTACTCCACACATCGACCGCTATCCAGCATGCATCTAGAGTATTAAGTTCATAAAGAACAGAGTAACACATTAAGAAAGATGACATGATGTAGAGGGATAAACTCATGCAATATGATATAAACCCCATCTTTTTATCCTCTATGGCAACAATACAATACGTGCCTTGCTTCCCCTGCTGTCACTGGGAAAGGACACTGCAAGATTGAACCCAAAGCTAAGCACTTCTCCCATTGCAAGAAAGATTAATCTAGTAGGCCAAACCAAATTGATAATTCGAATAGACTTGCAAAGATAACTTAACTACACATAAAAGAATTCAGAGGAGATCCAAATATTTCTCATAGATAAACTTGATCATAAACCCACAATTCATCGGATCCCGACAAACACACCACAAAAAGAGTTACATCGAATAGATCTCCAAGAAGATCGAGGAGAACATGGTATTGAGATCCAAAAAGAGAGAAGAAGCCATCTAGCTAATAACTATGGACCCGAAGGTCTGTGGTAAACTACTCACAACTCATCGGAGGGGCTATGGTGTTGATGTAGAAGCCCTCCATGGTCGATTCCCCCTCCGGTGGAACACCGGCGAAGGCTCCAAGATGGGATCTCGTGGATACAGAAGGTTGCGGCGGTGGAATTAGGTTTTCATTGGCTCCCCTGATGTTTTCGGGGTATGTGGGTATATATAGGAGGAAGAAGTATGTCGATGGCCGTCCGAGGGGCCCACGAGATAGGGGGGCGTGCCCTCCACCCTCGTGGCCGCCTCGGCTGCTTCTTGACTTGCACTCCAAGTCCTCATGATCATGTTTGTTCCAAAAATCATGCTCCCGGAGGTTTCATTCCGTTTGGACTCCGTCTGATATTCCTTTTCTTCGAAACACTGAAATAGGCAAAAAACAACAATACGGGCTGGGCCTCCGGTTAGTAGGTTAATCCCAAAAATGATATAGATGTGTAAAGTAAAGCCCATAACATTCAAAACGGGTAATATAATAGCATGGAACAATCAAAAATTATAGATACGTTGGAGACGTACCAAACCGCGACACTATTTTTTCGTTGAAAAAGCCATAATCATCAAGTCTGAAAGAAGGAAACAGTATGTGGTATTTACTGCTCCAAAAGCACCAAAAATGCATTAACTATTTGTGTTGGATATGAAAATACTCCAGAAAAGATTGTAATCTATAATTGAGATTTATGGGGTTATAAGTTGTGGTTGACATTAGCATTGTCACTATTATTCAGATAGAGAGATCGGTGCCAAACTACTATAAAAAGAAGGAAGCCAAGGATCGAAGCTAATTAATGTTGTTGCTTTCCAATTACTTATGTATGTTTGTGTTTTTTCACTGTATTCTGATATGTTTGAGCCTATCAATAGCTCTGCTTGACTATTTAGTACAAGAAGATGTAAAAGGAGTACTACTACCATATAGTGTTGCAATCTTTCCAAATATATAACCATGAAAGTGGACAGGCAAACCGCAGACTCGATAAAATCAAAATTAACACATACCAACCTGCCAATTCTAAACTATAAGGTTGCTAGCCAACTTGGCTCCAGGAGGCTCCCTCGATTTTCTGCTTTCTCAGCCATCAGATGGTGGTCAAAACAGTCTTCTCTGTGTTCCGGGGCATTAGATCTTTGTGTCTAGTTATCAACTCGCGGTAGTTTTGGAGGGCCATTGACCTATGGGCTCAGCCTCGCCCGCGATTTGCTAGGTCGGTCATTTCAGGGTGTGCGAGCGCTCTCTCCTTATGTGTCCCATGCTTGACGCTACGTTTTCTATGCCCACGTCTCGCTTGTTAATTAGATATAGGAAAGAGAGAGATGGACTCATGCGTATACACCCGCACAACACACACTCATACGCCCCCCCGCACTATGATAGGTGGGCTGCATAGGCTTCTGGTCCCACAGTCCAGTGGATGGGCTTATTTTTGTTTTCATCTGTTGTCTGGGGTTGTACAGGAGACAAGGTGGGCTCATGGGTACGCACCCGCCTCATGCACACACACCCGCCCCGCATACTGTGACTGGTAGGCTGCGTTGGCTTCTAGTCCCACACGTCGATGTGTAGGACTATTTCATTCTGGCTTCGGCGCAGATATAGGAGAGAGGGAGAGGCGACGGTGTGGGCGGCTTGTCCCTTCCTTCCACGCTCTCTGCCCCGCTGAGAACGTGCAATGCATTAAAGCTTTAATTCATAGGCCTCGTCGCAATTGAACCTCAACCTTCAGATCCCTGAAATTGATACCATGTATTCCGTAATCCCGGTCTTATTTCGACATTTGACCAGTTTAGTGAGGAGCAACGAGCAGAAAAAACCAATGAACTAATCGCACTATGGGAATACATGTCGGTGGTGACCAGGAAGATTGTTCAAGGAACATGCCTCCACCGACCGCACCATTTGCGCCGAGAACAACTACGGTGTCAGCAGCACATCTCCACGAACAGCGGACGAGGACGAGCATGTGGGCACCGGTGGCCGGTGACCGGAGCACGTCCTACCGCGGCGCCCACTCCCTACAACCCCACACTCGCGCATGGCCGCCTTGATTGAACCTGTCCGGCAGCCGTATCAGCTCGTTTGCGGTCACCAATATCGGGTCATACCACCCAGAGGAACTGC